GCCGCCCAGGTGGGTCTCGAACCCACGGGCTCAGGCAATCCACTCATCTCAGCCTCCCAAAGGTGCGGGATTACAGGCTGAGCCACCGAGCTCGGCAGTATTCCCACTCTTAAGGTGAAGAAGCAGGCCTAGCCAGTAGGGGCCAGGGGCCCAGCCGGGGCTTGGCACAGGGTGGGCTGGCTCCTCCCACCCCCACTCTCCCTCCCGCTCTCTACGTGGTTGACAGAACGCCCTCCCCTCCCCTCCCCTCAGGTTCTATGCACCCGCAGGAGCTACCTCAGCCCCCTCGACCCGGGGACACCGGCACTCTATCCAGCTCGACCCGGACGACCTGGAGGAGCTCAGCAGGGCCCTGAGCCAGGCCGCCCGGGCTGCTGAGAGCGTCCGCTCCGCCACTCGGCAGATGAGACGCTCGCTGTCGGCCGACCTGCGCCAAGCTCGCAGCCTGCGGGACTCCTGCCTCTTCTGACTCCCTGGGGGCCCAGAGACATAGGGGCGAGCACACAGGGACCTGGAGGTCCCATAGCTCCTCACCAAGAGGTTCTCCCTCCGGCACAGGCCCGTGCACTCCGCCCCAGTGTTTCCCAAGTGTAGGCCATGGTCACCAAGAGAAATGACTTCCCAGGGACGCCAGCCTCCTCAGTGACCCTGCGACCAAGGCCACTTTCGGGTCAGGTAGAAGCCCTGGCAGCCTCTTCTCCTGGTCCTGCACTTGGCCACCTTGGCCAATAAGAGCTATTTTATTTATATACAGATGGAAAGATGTTTTTTTGCCTGGGGGTCCTCCTTAGGAGGCCGGATAAGGGGGGAAAGAACCAGGGTTTCTGGAGCAGACCTGTCCCTGCCTGTGACCAGCCACTCTGGGCAAGCATCCCTGGGAAGGGGTCTCCTAGTGACTGGTGGCCAGTAGGGAGTTTTAGGATGTCGGGGCCCCAGGGTAACCTGTACCCAGCTTCTCCATGTCCACAGAGGCCTTTCCCGTGGCCCCACTGGGACGGAGACACTCTCCAGAGGGCTGGACACCACTCGCCATGGTCCCTCGGTACCTCACCGCAAGGCCTGGCTCCTCCTGGGATCCCAGAGGTGTCCCGCTAGCGGCCAGCTATCTGGCAGGCCTGGTCCGGGGCACTGTCTGTCTGTGCAGCCAGGCCACCTCCCGCTCCCCAACCCTATCGCAGCGCGTACCTCAGCCTTTCTGGAATGTGTGTGCATCGATGATGTTTGTATATTTGAGGCATTTAAAAATCTATTTTCGTTACGAGGGCTAATGAAGAATGAGTATTGATCTAAAAAAAAAAAAAGACAAAAAAAAAAAAAAAAAATACCCAAAGCTGTCTGCATCTGTGGTGTGTGTCATTGTGTCATTAACTTTTGGTTTCTAAAGTCAAGTTTGTGGGGTGGAAAATTCGACACCCAACCAGGCTCCTCCCACACCCCGCACCACCCAGGTATCCGCCTGGTGCTCTGCTGTTTCCCATCAACCCTTGCCCCCTCCCATCTCTCTTAATCATAAATCTTTTTCTTTTTCTTTTTTCTTTTGAGTCGGGGTCTCACTCTGTTACCCAGGATGGAGTGCAGTGGCACAATCAAAGCTCACCACAGTCTCAGCCTCTTGGGCTCAGGTGATCCTTCCTCCTCAACCTCCCCAGTAGCTGGGATCCTAGGCACATGCCACCACTCCCAGCTAATTTTTTTTTTCTGTATGGATGGGGTCTTGCTAAGCTGTCCAGGCTGGTCTCCAACTCTTGGGCTTAAGCAATCCTCTCACCTCAACCTCCCAAAGTGCTGGAATTACAGGTGTGAGCCACTACACCCAGTCAGAGCCATAAATCTCTCGACTGGAGAGGACTGCTAGGAGAGGCTGTCTGGCCAAGCCCCGTCTATTGAAGCCAGAGATGGTGTCCACAAAAGCACGGGCCTGGACTCTCTTTCCAGTGCACCTTTCAATAGTGAACAACAGCTGCCATTGACTGAGCACCGGCTGGGGCTCTCGGCACGTCCTGCCCCCCACGGTCCCCCCCACCCCGGACTCCCACCATGCCCCTATTTTACTGATGAGGAGAGTGAGGTTCCCCTGGGCCACCTGCCCAAACTGGTTTGGGAGACGGCTGAACTCGCATTTGACCCTAATGCTCACACTCCTTGTTCCACCACGATGTCTCCTAGCTCCCTTTCTTCTTCACCCGGCCTTTTTTCCCTCTACTCCACAGTGCACCTCCCTCATGCTCCCCCGCCCTTCACGACTCGTTTCTGTTCCATCCTCAGCAGGGTTGAAAATAGCATCTCAAGCCGGCCTGGTGGCTCAGCCTGTAATTCCGCACCTTTGGGAGGCTGAGGTGAGTAGATTGTCTGAGCCCGCTGGTTCAAGACCCGCCTGGGCAGCGAGACCTCATCTCTACAATAAATCAAAAAATCAGCCGGGCGTGGTAGCGCATGCCTGTAATTCCGGCTACTTGGAAGGCTGAGGGGAAGGATCGCCGGAGCCCAGCGGGTCGAGGCTGCGGTGGCCGGGAGCGGCCACTGCACTCCAGTCTGGGCAACAGAGTGAGACTCCAACTCAAAAAAAATAAAAAATAAAAATAAAAATTGCAGCCAGGCTCGGTGGCTCAGCCTGTAATCCCACACCTTGGGAGGCTGAGGTGAGTGGATTGCCCGAGCCCACGGGTTCGAGACCCGCCTGGGAAACTTGGTGAGACCTCATCTCTACAATAAATCAAAAATTAGCTGGGCGTGGTAGCACGTGCCTGTGGTTCCAGCTACTTGGAGGGCTGAGGCAAAAGGATCGCCAGAGCCCAGCAGGCGAGGCTGCGGTGGCCGGGAGCGGCCACTGCACTGCAGTCTGGGCGACCGAGTGAGACTCCAACTCAGAAAAAAAAAAGAAAATAGCATGTCGCTGAAAGCAACACTGAAATGGGAAGATTTCCTGCAGGTTCCGAGCCTCCAGGCCTCCCGAGCGCCCAGAGGCTGTTTCGTCCGCTGTGTTCCGAGGACCTCGGGAGCTGGGCCCAGTGTCCTCCGCCTTGTGCGGTGGGCACAGCCACAGCCCTGGGTGCTGAGCAAAGGCCGCTGGAATCTGGGGCCTGTGGGGCTTGGCTTTCGGAGGGGAGGAAATAGGGGCTGGTGCGTGTGGGCACCAGGTGTCGGGATAGCAACCAGCTGCACCCCCGGAATTGCCTGACGACCCCGCCCCGGCTTTTTGACCTCCCTCACGTGACGTGAGTTCCCAGTGGGTGGAGGCCAGCCCTTCCTCACGCGTGCCACTGAGGGGCCACACTGGGCTTGACTCCACCTCAAGGGTTTCACGTGGGCAAGCTCAGATGTGCGCTGGTTTGGGGAACCAGCCTCACCCCTGTGCGGCGTCTCCTTTTTCCGGGTCTCTCGAGGGACCACCTTGAGGACGTGTCCGTGGAGACACCCAGCCCCTCCGGCCCGGCCCCTCCCACCCGCCGCCTCAGACGGCCGTGGTGATGCACTGCGCACCTGAATTCTGGCCGCGTCCACTGCAGGCCTACTCAGGGTCCCCTGCCTCAAGTCTCTCAAGGGCATCTTCTCACGCCCTCGCCTGCAGGCAGGGCGGCGGGTGTTTTTTATTCATGACTAGTCAGCCAAGGTTCTATTACATTCTTTCTGTAAGAAGACAGGCCTTACAGTCGTCCAGTTTTGAAACTCACTTTTTGCTCTTATTATTTTTTGAGTCAGGGTCTCACTCTGTGCTCAGGCTGGAGTGTAGTGGTACGATCACGGCTCACGTAGCCCTGACTTTCTGGACTCAGGTGACCCTCTCTCCTCAGCCTCTTGAGCAGATGGAGGAACTACAGGTGTGCACCAGTCACCTCACCTGGCTAATGTTTTTATTTTTTGTAGAGATGGGGGTCTTGCTATGTTGTCCAGGCTCAGGTCAACCTCCCTCCTCAGCCTCCTGAGTAGCTGAGACTACAGGCGTGAGCCACCGTGCCTGGCCTTATTATTGTTTTGAATGGATACATGTACACATTTGCAGGGTACAGTATGATGTTGAATGTACCCAAAACAAAAATGTTTGAAGTGATAGATATGTTAATGACCCTGATTTGATGATTACACATTCTATACAGGAACAGCAGGTTACATCCAGCTCCTCGTCTCTGTATATGAGTTCAGATGCCCCTTCCAGGAAGCCTTCCCAGACTTCCCTGCTGTAGAAAGAACCTTCCTGGTGCTGGGCTCTGCATCCAGTGCCAGTTGTCCATCTTGGCACATGCACCAGCTCTTCCTGGCTGGGACAGGGGCTTATTCAGTGCCCAGCCAGGGCCTGACTCAGGCAGGCATCCACATGAATGAGTGTGTAAATCAGTGAATAAACAAATGACTACCAGCCAGATTGTTCCAAAGGCAGAATCTTTATTGCTGCAAGCGGCGGAAAGAACTGAGGTGTGGGGGGTGGGTTGAGGGATGACGATGGCCCCCCTGCCCGCAGTCCTGGCCCCGAACGGTGCCCTCCTAGGACCCCTCATTCTCATTCTTCCTCTCCTTGTCGTGCTGACTCTCCAGCGGCTCACACTGATCCTAGAAGACAGCGGGGAGCAGGGTGAGGGAGAACCCAGGAGTGGGGGAGGGGAGGGGCCCTCGGAGGGAACGGCAGGCACTCTGGCCTGTGGCACTCGACATGTCCCAGCCGGCTGGCTCTGGCAAGTCGCACTCCCTCTCGGCCTCGGCTTACCCGCCTGAAAGTGGGGCTCAAGCCCGTAAAAGCCAGCGGCATTTACTGAGCCCCGGTTACCCACTAGGTCCTGGTACCACCTCTCCCGATTCCTCACAACCACCACGGCTTTGCAGACGCTGCCACTGAGGCTTGGGGCGGCTGTGTGACCTATCCGAGGCCTCCAGCCAGTCCGTGGGGGAGGCTGGCCGTGGACCAGGGAAGCCGCCTCCAGTGGCCATGTTCGTCAGCCCTGTCCCAGGATCCCGGCCTGGGAATAGTTCTCGCCGCTGGAGGTCATGGGAGATGACCTCGTGGGTCAGCGCAGGGAGACACTTTTATTCTAGTGGCCGAGATAGTATTTCATATGTGTGTATATATAAATTGTCACCAGCTCATCAGCTCTGTGACGCTAAAGATACCATAGCATAGAACACCGGGCAAGCCTTTCCCTCAACACCGGTGTAAAGAGGGGTGTGGGGAGGCCTTTAGACAGGTGGTTCTCATTTATAGCCAAAATTGGGTGGCCCTGGGCTTGCTGCCATCTGGATGACACTGAAAGCCACAATACCAGCTCCCTGGGGCACGGCTGTTAGAAATGAGCAGGGAGCGGAGGCAGGGAGAAGACTAGGGTGCGTACAGTAACCTCTCAGCTCGTGCCATTCCCTCCTGCCAGCCTTTCAAGTCCTCCCTGAGGTCAAGGGGACTTTTCCTTCCTGGCTTCACCCACTCCTCATCGGCCTCGGAGGCCTCGGCTGTCCCTGCAGTGAGGCAGGTGCTTCAAAGCGGGGACCCGCCTGGCTGGGCTGCCTCAGGGGGCAGCTTTTCCTCTCTGGGCCTCTGGGGTCGGCAAAGGCGGAATGGTGGATTCCTTGCAGGTACCTTTTTCCAGTCCGTGTACACGGCTTCCGACTTGGGAATGCCCAGGCACTCGAGGGCTTTGTGGAACTCTCCCAGCTGCTCCTGGGTCGCCTCAGGCTGGTCAGCTGCAGCAGGGAGCAAGGAGGCCAGGGGAGGGGCTGGGGAGGGTGGGGATCTGGGGGCCCAGCCCCAGGGGGGTTGGACCCAGCGGGCGCGAGTCGGGGGCTGCTGAGGGGCCTACCGTAGAAGGACAGCCCCCGTTTCTGCTCATCGTCCAGGTAGGAAGCAAGCAGGAAGGTCCTCGGGTCCTTGAGGAAGAGCAGGTGGGCTACGTGTTCTCTGCCCGCCTCTGGAGGGGAAGAGGGCTTCGGGTGAGAACATGGGCGGCACAGGGTCCCCATCTCACAGGGGAGGGAGCCTGGGCGTGCCCAGGCCCACAGTCCATCCAGGAAAGCCTGGGGTGTCCTTAGGCTTCTGTGTGCCCCCACCCATGCACCAGGCCCTACGCCGATGAAATTCTGGAGCCCCGTGCGGACCATGGCTGTCAGGACAGATGAGGGAAAGAGGCCAGAATGGAGCCTCGGGGTTGCGCGATGGTGCCAGCTCAGCTCCATCGTCCACTGTGGGGCCCCGACGTGTGTCGGCCCTGCAGTGGTGATGGGGACAGAGAGAGAGTCACCCCCTGCCCACACACGGGCTTCCACCTGCAGCTTCCAAAGGGTCTTCAAGAGGGGTTGAGAGAGAGCCAGGTCTAGAGCCGGCCTTGGGGTCTCAATCCTAGTTCTAATGACAAGCTGTGTGACATCAGGGATTCTACTTGATGTCTCTGTTCTTCCGGTTCCTCCTCTGATCATTGCAGTGTTCCCTGAGGGTCGTTTGTATGAAGTGGACTGGTGCGTGGAAAGCACTTCCAGCCGTGCCTGGCACACAGTAGAAGCTCAAAAGGGTCAGTGCTGATTTCTTGTGCCTAAAGGCCCCAGGACCTTAGCCCCAGTCCCGCTTCTCAGGCTGGCCCACCGCAGGCCCCACGGCAGACCCAGCTGCCTGAGGGCCAGCCCTTACCGTATCTGGAGAGGGTCCCATTCTCCCGCTGAACATTCAGGAGGCTGACGTTATAGACGCACTTGTCCCCGCTAGAGCCAGACCGAAGGGGGAAGAACACAGGAAGACAGTCAAGGAGGGCCGGACAGCTGCCCACCGCCATCCAGGGGCAAGAGATGCCACAGAGGGGAAGGCCGAGGCCAGGAGCTGAGGCAGGGGTGGGCCGGAAGGGGGTCTTACACGGTCATGTACTCTCGAAGCAGTACTGTGTCTTCCGTCTGGTTGGCGGTGAAGTAAAAGAAAGCTACCTGGATCTTCTTGGCCTCCTCCTTGTACTCGGCGTCTTGATAGGACGAGCCGATGTAAAACCACTTGTGGGAGATCTGGGAGGGGGCAGTAACCGGTGAGGGACGGGCAACCCGGAGGAGACTCAAGCAGTTCCCTCCCTCCGCTTTCATGTGGGGAGACCGAGGCCCCAGTGGGGAGACAGGATCTCACGCTCAGGGTCAGGCATCCCCCACAGGCACCCCCCTCCAGACCCAGCACAGGACGGTCCCCTGGGAGGGACTCCACGGGAGGCTTCTGAGTTTGGAGGCAGGCGACGGCCCCAGAGTCCCCTGGGCTGCTCTCCGCTTCACCCCAAGGTCCCAGCGGTGGGAAGGGCAGAGCCAGGAACAGAGGTGGACCACAGCCAGCAGTGGGGAAAGCCCGTGGGGTGGAAGGAGACGCCCCACACTCGGGGGTAGGGCCAGCCAGGCACTCACCCGCTCCAGGGTGGCGTTGGTGATGGGCCCCACCGTCAGGTTGGCACACACGGGGCGCTGGGCGTCCAGCAGAGGCAGGAGGCTGAGGGCCGCGAGAACCCAGGGTAGCGCCATGCCTGAACGAGGAGGTAGCCGGAGCCAGGCCGAGTGAGCGGCCCGAGGCTGCTGTGACCTTTATAACAGGCTATGGGTGGTCATCTGGAGCCCAGCCAGGGTTTGCTTTGTAAATCAGTGGCACAATCCCGCCAGCGCTTGGGCAATGACTTGCACAAAACCTTCCCCAAAGGCTGGCTGCAGGTACAGCCTCCGAGCCCAGGGCTTGTTGGGCTCCTGACCCAGAGAGGTTACAAAGGCCCAAGAGTCTGGGTTGCCCAAGGTCAAGGTGGGTGTGGGGCTGGAGTGGCATTAGTCAACACGTGTGAGTCCATAGATGCCAACAGAGGGGCCTCACTCAATAGGCTCTCGTCTTTTCTTTTTCTTATTTTGAGTTGGGGTCTCACGCCGTCGCACAGGCTGGAATGCAGTGGCACAGCTACAGCAGCCTCCAACTCAGCCTCCCAGATAGCTGGGAGTACAGGTGTGTGCCACCACATCTGGCTAATTGTTTGATTTTTTCCTTTCTTTTATTTTCTCTCTCTCT